GTCTACATCATATACAAGTCCCTATGTTAACAGGCAGACTGACAGAATTCAGAAGATGGAAAAAAAAAACCCAAACCAAAACAAGACCAAAACCCGCACCCATGCACCTACCCAAAGGTATTTTAAGGACTGTTTATGTTCCACTGAGAACAGGATGTATATTTTACTAATACAAGTTTTGAACAGAGTACTGTTTAAAGAGTAATATATATCCACAAATGGAAAAAAATTGAAGTGCTTCCCTAAATCCACCTAAATCTGGAAGCGTTTGTAGGGACCTGAGAAGTCCCAAGCAGCTGTACACACATTTTCATGTCTAAACTGCAGTAGACTAGTTCAGGATACTTTAATTTGAATGTGACATTTTCTTGTTCTGAAGAAACAAGAGTAATTCAAAATTATTTGAGGCTAATCTGTCCTAGCTGCACAGTATTTCAAGGCAGTTTTACTGCTGAGTGTTCAGCCTAATTACAATGTCTGTTCAAAACAGATTAATTAGGTTACTTGTACCTTTTTAAGGTGTCCTTAGGCACTTGACCACAGCTAATAATAAATACCCAGTACTTTTTATCTCTAAAAAAGCAAGCATCATTACCTCTATTCTAAAGATGAGGAAACTGAGACATGAGTAAGCAGACTCTTCAACCTAATGTCACCTGAGAGCAGAGCAGCCAGGAATGAAATACAGGTCTTCAGAGTCCCATCTAGTAGTTTAACCCAACACAGTGAGGTACAAGTGCTTAATTTTATATACCTTTATATATAAAACATAGTTGTGTAATCTAAGACTCAACTGTCCAATTTATATCATGCAGACTAACAAAATACTGAGCATTTTTCAGTCATACTCATTTTATGAATATTCTTGTCCCAGACATGAAATGGAAAAATAAAACAAACTAAAAAACTATACTGGATGTGCCATCGTGTAAGTGTAATTTACATGTATTTCAGTTGTGGTACTGTTCATCACTACTTTGAAAAAAAAAAAAGTTACCAATTGCCTTTGAACACGATTCTGTCATGAAATTTATGCTTCAACATCCCCAAGACCAGCATCTTAGGAAATTAGATGACTAGGGCTTCCATCAAAACAAAATATCCATTAAAAAAATCCCTTTATTCTGACCAACACAGAAATAAAGACATTTTTGCCAAGGTTTTGTAATTTTAGAAACATGATCATGGCCGAGCTTGAAAAACTCATTCCAGGTAGAGCCTTTAACACTTCCATTTGAAGCAAACGAGGGTCCATTACATGCCTATTTACTTTAGGGCATAGCCCAAGTTCTCTATCTTGACCAAACAATTTCATTTAAGCAAATAAAACCAAGTAATATACTGTTTTCTTCAGGCATTAAACAGGTACTGTTTTGGAAGCACAATTTTGAGTGAACCAAAAATTTTCTTAAAATAAATCCTGTAACATTAATGAGAAAAGTCTAAAGTTTAAAACAGTTACATTACTGTCTAGAAAAGAAGTAGTAGACAACACCTAGAAGTACAAAAGTGCAATCACTTTGCATACCCAATAGCTTCATTTAAATACTCTAAGTAATAATTTCTGTTACCCCAGCCATATCAACTTATTATGCTGTCACGTACCATCATGGCAAAGAAAGCACACATCTCTGGAAATACACACTACCTCACAAAAACTTCTTTTTTTTTTTTTAAATTATTATTACAAAAAAAAAGACCTTTTTCATATGAAACTTAAAAGATTTTATTTCATGGATGACTGACTTAACAACCTACAGCATCATAAGTTCATTTTATGAGGACACAGGTTTGCCACTTCCACCAGGAAGCAAAGAGTTAAAGGCTGTGCAACTAACCTGAAAGCTAGCACTGGAGAGGCTAGTTTACCTGCTGGACAAAGTTCTAAAAGGATGCAAGCCCAGCAAAGGACAGCAGAATTTTCGAAGGGAAGGCAACATCAGCAATACTGGTTCTTACCCAAGCTCCTTCCCTCTCCTACAAAAGAACCTGTACTGGAGATAAAAGGAGGTAAAAAGGTAAGCTGTCTTTATGTAATCTTTCAATCTTTGGTAATCAGGTAATTTTGCTGGTGAAGCTACTAAACAGAACAAACTAAAAAGAGGATTTGTTTACTGCCAAGTTTATTTCCTACTATGCATTTGCTAACTACTGAAGAATAAGTGTTATATTTTTCACCCTGAACAAATTTATGTGAAAACTTGTTTAGAAGCAAGATATACTTTCCACATCCTATTAACTGTCTGTGAAATGTTTAAAGGAAGATATAGAAGAATAGAGAAAATATTTTATAGACAAAGCAGGACAGAAATGTCTAATGGATATTTGCTAGCAGAAGTTTTAAAGAAACTGTTCTATCAGATACAGAGTCACTTTTTTAAAATATAAAATCATCACTATGAGAAGTGTGCTCTAAGGCCTATTTAAGGCCTGTTTAATTAAACTCCGTACACTTTGAAACAAGTACATATACCACGCCTATGTTTTACCACTTTCTTCTTAGCAGTTAGTTATTTTGCCCTTTTGTTTTTCATAGTTTCTCAGAATCCGCTTCACATCCTGTTAGTCAGTAGTTGAGAAAGTTTGCCAATCTTTATATCAGGAGAGTTCAATTGATTCATGACTACTGATCCACTTTTATTAACTTCATCCAAACCTAACAGTTAACTACTTACAGCACGATGGAGTACACAGGGCTATCATAACCAAGTGCATGCAGAACATACAATATCAATAAGCAACGTGTTATATTGATCACCCACTGATACTCTAGATTCCATGTCAGGATCAAGCTCGGGATTAATAATGGGTTTAGCTTGTTTCCAGTAGGTATTCATGAGTATTAGCAAAACATCTAAACCACACATCGTTTGTGATCTAGATCGATGCAATTACGTGACGCTTTCAACCTTTACTGTAGCCATGCATTCTACAACTTCCTCATCTTTCTGTGCACGATTGCAATATGCAAGTAAAAGCCCATCTTACATGTAAGCACTTTTTAAGTTAGAGTTCTTTAAATTGAGGAAGTTTCCTCCTGAAGAAACATGAGCAAAATGGCGCATCTCACACTTCACCGTAGTTCCCTTTACTTTGGGATCATGCCACTAAACGAGCTTTTACGCACAGGTATATGAAGAGTAATTTGTTTTGACGAATTCCCAAGAAAAATGATAGTTATGCCTTTGCGTTCCACTGCTAATATATGCCACTGCAAACAAAACGCTGCCTTTACAGTGGTTCTTCCTGATATGGAAGTTCCTCTTAAAAATACCTAAAAGTTAGCAGTTTACAAAGCTTAAACCCTGCTGGGATTTCCATGTTAACTTCGTAACCTGTCTTGCCCAAAGAACTGTATTTATTGGCACAGAAGTTACCACATATAATGGGAGAGACAGTACAACCAAAGGATCTAATCCATACTGTTTTGTTTTTGTTGTTTTTTTTTTTAATCAGTATCACTGTCAGTCTCATCTTCCAAGGAAAAAAAAATAATAAAACCAAGCCCTCCCCACCCCCAACAAAGTCCCCCCAAACAAAAAACCCCACTCACTGCTGTTTAAATTAATCTGAACCACACTCTCAGTACTTCTACAGAAATTCTGCTTCCATTTAGCTTACCTGTAACACTACCATAGTTACTTATTCACACAGCTCACCACTTCAAACAGGTCTACCAGCTTATATATCTTCGTATCAAGTTTGTATTAACATAGCGATTCTTCCTAGACACTTACAAGCCACTGATTAAAGTTCAGCATTTTAGATGGATTCTTAGCCTTCAGCCATCTCATGCGCTACAATATTAAGTAGACTGCTACATCTCAGTTGTGCCCTCTTTTCCTTTGTTACTCAAGTGAGCACACTGCTAACACTTAAAGTTACAGGAAAACGTAACAGCATTTAGGAAGTAAAATGTCTCCTTTTTAAAGCATGGCTTTCTAATTTCTATTCGAGCATTAAATTCAATGCTTTCCATTTATGGCCTTCTTTGGCTAATTGTCCAACTAATAAATTCAGAGACACATTCTTTGCCTGGTTAACCGTAACAACTTGCATAGATATAGTGGTGTATATTAAAAAAAAAAAAAAAAAAAGAAAAGAAAAAAGCAAGTAAGCTTTCTTCTGGACAAGGAAGCGGAAGAGCTAGCAGGTTGAGCTGACATGTAAAGATAAGAGCACAACAGCAAAGCTCCCGAATTGCATCTAACCCTGCAGCTGACAAGCAGAAAAGTAACAGTTGCAAAGGCAACCAAAACTGGCCAAACTGCAGGCATGGATGGGAACAACCAACCCTCGAGTTTTCAGGGCCTTTTACGGCGTTGCGGGGTGGTCTGGGTTTTTTTTTGTGGCGACGAGAACCCTTGCCGTGTGCCAAATAACGTTGCTCGGACCATTTTCTCCTCTTCACAGGCTCCGAGTTCAAGGCCTACATAAAGGAAGCTGCTCCCACTCCTGCGCGGTGCCGCGCAGAGGGGAAAAGCTCTTCGCTTGGCCCCGAGGCAGGCGGTGGGGCGGCTACCGGGAGCCCCTCCGGCCGGCGCCCCGGCGAGCGCCGTGCCCGGGGCGGGGGCG